GACTACGGGAGTATCTGGCTCCGCGTCTACGACAAGCGGCAGAAGCAACGGACCCACAGGCGACTAGCAAACCAGGCTCGCTAGGCTACCGAGAGCACGAGGGCTCCGGACTACTGGCGCTGCTGACGACACGACGGCGACCTCCGCTCTACCTCCCCTAACAGTCCCACACCCTCTTCTCACACACCCCCTTGCTGCACCCCTGTCTCCACTCCCACGACACCCCCTTAGCTCCACTCCCCTCGGCTCCCATACATCCACCCCCCTTCAGCGGCAGCTGTAGCAGTGGGAGACGAAGTAGGAGGAGGAGGAGGGGAAGGGTAGCACCCACACTCATCACCCCCACACCCGCCACCCTCATTCCCTCCCCCCACGGCTGCACAGGGTCTAGGAGCGGCGTCGCGGGCAGCTGCAGGGTCGGCTGCTGCAGGGGCGGCTGCTCCAGGGGCCAGGGGCGGCTGCTCCAGGGGCGGCTGCTCCAGGGGTGGCGTCGCTGGTGCAGGGCAGGCCCGCGCGCTGCTGCAAAGCAGGCGCGGGCGCAGGGGAGGCAGAGGCGGCGGCCAGGGGGGGGGGTGCGCCGCGACGAGCAGGAACAGCGCCCAGGGGGCGCCGCGACGTGCAGGGGCGGCGCACCGCGGGTCCTGCAGGGGCGTCGAGACGAGCAGGGCAACGCCGCGCGGGTCCCGCAGGGGCGTCGCGACGAGCAGGAGCGGCGACGCATGGGTCCCGCAGGGGCGTCGCGACGAGCACGAGCGACACCGACAATTCACCCAGCAGCAGCGGCAGCGCCTACAGTGAATCTTGAGGCGGCACGTCCGAGGCTACCGGAGACGTTCAATCCGAATGCAAGAAACACCAACGTCCGTTGATTCATTGCGACCCTCGAAATTTACTTCGAGGCCATTAGCTGTACGACCCCAACACACGATGCAATGAGGTTTCGGCTCGCAGCGACACTGTTACGAGGCCTGGCGCTCGAGTGGATTCACAACAGCAATAAGATCCGAGGCGAGGGGTCATGGACGCAGTTTCGGGAAGCTTTAATTCAGCGTTTCGAACCAATCAACTCCAGCTACATGGCGCGGCAGCAGATTCATCGGCATAAACAGTTCGGCACTGTAACATAGTACACGCAGCAGATGGAGAGCCTCTTAAACCGAATTACCGACCTGACCGAAGGGGAAAAAATGTCAAACTTTTATGCTATAGTCTGTGTAGGCTGTAGTGGGGTAGACAATATGGGGTACAACACTTTTAGGTTTTCCTACTTGTACCCTCCTGTTTCCTAGTGCACAAATTCCTCATTCTTTCAAATGGTATCAGAGCAGGTTCCCTAGTGGGAACGTTTCCTAGGGCCCAACGAAAATCGAAATTTTCTTTCCTGCCCGGAGCGCGCTTCGCCCCTGCCCGAGTCGCGCCCCGTGTGCCTTCCCTCCCGTCGCGTCCCCTGCCCTTAGCGGCCCGTCGCGCCCTCTTACGGCCCCTCACGGTCCCTTAGCCACTCCCTTGCAGCCCCTCTCACGGAAACTTCGCGGCCCCTTCGTGGCTCCCTCGCGGCCCCTCGCGGCACCTCATACGGCCCCTCGCGGCCCCTCTCACGGCCCCTCGTGGCCCCTCCGCGCCCCTTCGCGGCCCTTCGCGGCCCCTCGCGGCCCCTTGCAGCCCCTCGCGGCCCCTCTCACAGCCCCTCGCGGCCCCGCGGTGGCTCCCTCGTGGCCCCTCGCGGCCCCTCGCAGCCCCTTCGTGATCCGACGCGGCCCCTTCTCAGCCGCTGCCGCCCCTTCTCAGCCGCTGCCGCCCCTTCCCCGGCCGCAGCGGCCGCCACCACCGACAGCAGCCGCCGCCGCCGCCGACAGCAGCTGCCGCCGCCGCCGCCGCCGAGGGCAGCAGCCGCCGCCGCCGCTGCCTGTCCGCCGCCGCCGCCCGTGCCCCGGCCGCAGCAGCCACCGCCGCCGACAGCAGCCACCGCCGCCGCCGACACCAGCAGCCGCCGCCGCCGCTGCTGTATCAGCCGCCGCCGCCCCTGCCCGCCGCGGCACCCTGGCCCCTGGAGCAGCCGCCCCTGCAGCAGCCGCCCCTGGCCTCTGGAGCAGTAGTCCCTGCAGCAGCCGCGGAGCCCTCGCCTTGCAGTGGTAGCGACCTCACCATTGCCGCTGTCGTACTCCTACCCTTCTTACCAGTGGTGAGCACTGCTGTTACTGCTACTCTTGCTACTACTGCTCTTTCTACTGATACTGCTGCTCCTGGCGTGGCCAGATGCAGCTCCAGCGCCATCCGCGTGAGTCCCTCGCCCCCCATCAGCTTCGTGAGTGGTACGCTAGTTGGGGTTATAGGGGTGGCCGCACTGCTACTACTGCCACTGCGACTACCACTGCTCCTGCTGCCCCTGGCGGTGGCCAGATGCAGCTCCAGCGACGTCCGCGTGAGTCCCTCACGCCCCAGCAGCTTCGTGAGTGATACGCTACTTGGGGTTGTCGGGGTGGCCGTTGTGAGGGTCGTTCTGGCGTGAGTAGTTCGGGACCTGCTGGTAGTGGCCAGGTGTAGCTGCAGCGTAGTCCGCGCGCGGTCCTTTCGCCCCAGCAGCTTTGTGAGTGGTACGCTCAGCGTGGAGGGTCACAGAGTACTGCTCACTGTCCGTACGTCATTCGCACTGGTGCTCGGACTGGTCAGCCTTGCAGGACGTTTGGTTACGCAGAGTCCCGCTGCTTCGCCCGTCTGAGCGACGCCTGGCGTACGGAGTTTGGCGACGCCGCTGAGCTCCCCGACTGGGTGGAGCTGCTTAGGCAGAGGGTAGATATCCATGCTCTTCACTATGATGCTATCCTCACTTCCATATATGCATTGCCTACTAGTGATGTGGGTGACTGTTACCTGTGTGTTCCGCCTGACCCGGGCATTGAGGCTGCTGCTCTAAGTGCTGGTGAGGCTGCTGCTCTAGGTGCTAGTGAGTCTGCTGCCCCAGGTGCTAGTGAGTCTGCTCTCTCAGGTACCACGTCATCTCAGGTTTTGCACACCTTCACCCTTGACTCGGGTGCTTCCCGCTCCTTCTTTCGAGACCGCACCACACTCACGCCGCTTAGTCGGCCCGTTGCTGTCTCATTGGCAGACCCCTCCGGGGGCCCTGTCCTTGCCCACTTCTCCACTGACTTACCGTGTCCGGCGGCCCCTTCTGGCTCCTTGTCAGGTCTTTACCTCCCCTCGTTCTCTACGAACTTGGTGAGTGGTGCTGACCTACAGGATGGAGGGGTCGACAAGTTCACTCCTGCGCGTCAGCGAGTGACCCACTGTACGTGTGCTCGGACGGGCCGACACTTGGCCACGTTTACCCGTCATCCGAGGTCGAGCCTGTACACACTGACTACTGAATCTCCTTAGGTAGCTGCGTCGAGTCAGGTGTTTGCTGCAGCGTCCAGGTCTGGTCCTGAGTCGGCCCCCTGCTCGTGTCGTCTCCTGTCTCACCAGACTCTCCTCTGGCACCACCGCCTTGGTCACCCCTCCCTGCCTCATCTCTGAGGCATGGCCTCTCGTTTCCTTGTCTCGGGTCTCCCCTGTTAGAATATATCTCCTCCTGTAACCTGCATACATGTCATGAATAGGCTAGAGATAAGCACCCAAACAGAGTTTGGGTGTACAAACAGGGGTAACCCAGTTTGTAGGTTGGAACCCAACCTTGGTCCAATTATTGGACCCCAAAAGGTTAGGTTGGGTAGAATTATTGGCTCCCTCCAATAATGTTGGCCCAACCCCAACTTGGCCAACATTATTGGACCCCACCAATAATCACCCAACCCAACTTATTGGTTGGGGTCCAATAATGGCTCCCTAGACTAGTATCCAACCCCCAACTATGTATACCCCTACCATTTTCAATCCAATCATAAAGTTCTACTCTAACTTTCATTTCCTACATGGTATAGAGCTCACTATCCTAGGCCTCCTCTCGTTCCAAAGGCCCACCCGGCCGCCGCAACCCCCGGCCTTCATATTTTTCCCGGCTCCTCCGCCGTTTTCCCCCTTCCAACCCCTTAGCGCTCTCCTCTTTCCGCGGGCTCATCCCCGCCTCCGCGCCCACTGTCGCCGCGGCCTCGCTAGCCGCGGCCACCCGCGCCGCTCCCACCCCCCCCCCCTCACGGCCTCGTCGCCGCCTCCGCGCCCGCGTCGTCGCGGCCTCACCAGCCACCACCGCTTGCGCCGCTCCCCCCGCGGCCTCGTCGCCGCCTCCGCGCCCGCGTCGTCGCGGCCTCGCCAGACGCCACCGCCCGCGCCGCTCCTCTCCGCGGTCTCAAAGCCGCCTCCGCACCCGAGTCGCCGCGGCCTCGCCAGCCGCCGCCGCCCGCGTTGCTCCTCTCCGCGGCCTCGGCGCCGCCTCCACGCCCGCGTCGTCGCGGCCTCGCCAGCCGCCGCCGCCCGCGCCGCTCCCCTCCGCGGCCTCGTCGCCGCCTCCGCGGCTTCGCCAGCCACCGCCGTCCGCGCCGCCCCCCTCCACGGCCTCGTCGCCGCCTCCGCGCCCCCGTCGCCGCGGCTTCGCCAGCCGCCGCCGCCCGCGCCGCCCCTCCTCAGCGGCCTCGACGCCGCCTCCGCGCCCACATCGCCGCGGCTTCGCCAGCCGCCGCCGCCCGCGCCGCTCCCCTCCGCGGCCTCGTCGCTGCCTCCGCGCCCGCGTCGTCGCGGCCTCGCCAACCGCCGCCGCCCGCGCCGCTCCTCTCCGCGGCCTCGTCGCCGCCTCCGCGCCCGCGTCACCGCGGCCTCGCCAGCCGCTGCCGCCCGCCCCGCTCCCCTCTACGGCCTCATCGCCGCCTCTGCGCCTGTGTCCACCGCGGCCTCGCTAGCCGCTGCCCTGCCACCTCGCGCCGCTCCGCGACCTCGTCGCCATCTCCCCGCCGACCACCACCGGCGCCATTCCTCCACCTCCCCACTGCTTCCGCACCCACGCAGCCCCACCAGCTGCCGCCACCTGCACGCTTCCGTGACCCCTGCGGGTCCACCCGCAGCCGTCCCTCATGGCCACCCCCATGCCCTCCCCCTCCCCCCTCCCTCCTCCTATCGATATTTCCTCCATTGATAAACTCCAGCTTGCAGCCGACAAATCTGCCATTAACTGGCACTCGTTCGTCGGCAGCATCCGCCGAGTCCTCAACGATGCATGGATCCCCTCCTACCGTGTCCTTGACGTCATCCTCCGCCGCCCCCATGCCCTCCCTCCCACCGAACCTGACCACCCCGGCGAGACCCCTCCTCTCCCTCCTCCTCCTGGCGACCCCCCCCTTGAGCCCGAGCTCCAGATCGCCGCCGACCAGGCCACCGCAGATGCTGATTTCATTATGCGTCGCCGTGCTTACCCGATCCTCAAAGCCGAATACGATGCAGCAGCAGATGCCTACGCTCAGGCGGTCGCTAGCCGCACTGCTCACCTCGCCGTCGTTGCCAAATACACCGACGATATGACCACCTTCACCTCCAACTTCATCGCCTGGTCAGCCGCTGACAACCGAGCATGCACTGTCATCCTCGGTGCTCTCCCTGACTCCCTCATGCGCCACTTTCAGGCCCGGGAACTCCGCGCCTCGGTGATATGGGCAGAACTCCATGCTATGTTCGAACGCCGCGACATCAGCTTGGTGGGAATCCTCTTCCAGGAATACTTTTCTATTACCCTCTCTACCTGTGACGGAGCAGTAGACTATGTCGGCCGCATGCGCGAGGTAGCCGATCGCCTCGAAGCCCGCCGAGCCGGCCTCTCCGAGCCCCTCCAAATCCATCGCCTCCTCTTCAACCTCACCCCTGACTATGAATCCCGCCTTCACGCCTTCACCGAAGCCAATCCCATGGCCGATCTTGCTTCCGTTGAACAGTGGATCATTGATACCGAAGTCAAGCTTCGCACCCCCATGGTCAACCTCACCTCCTCCCACCCTTCCTCCTCCTCTCTCAACGCTACTCAGCCCCGCAAGCAGGGCAAAAGCAACGGCAAAGGGGGAACTGGGGGCAAGGGAGGCAGCGGCCAGGGAAGCAGCAAAACAAGCAGCCGTGGTGGCTCCACTGGGGATGAGCACGGCACCCCCATTCAGAGCGGTCCCTCTGGGAACCGCGGGCCGCGCCCTGGAACTCTCCCTCCCTGCACCTATGTCCACCGCTACGGTCCCCGGGTAGGGACACCCTACGGTCAAACCACCCATCCCCCTAACACCTGCTTCAAGGCTCTCGATGATGCCTGGTACGCACGGGGCAATGTCGGCACACCTCCCCGCTGGGGTACCATCTCCCCACGTCCCTCCCCTGCTGACATCCAAACCAACCCTGCCTACCTCCCATCCCACCTCCGCCTCCTTGCTTCCCCCACGCCGGTCCTCAACCTGCAGCAGCAGCATCTTCTGCAGCACCAGCCGCAGCAGCAGCTGCAGCAGCAGCAGCCACAGCAGCAGCCCCCTTGGGGACCCGGGCTCCCACCCCAGTGGAGACCCAGCACTCCCCCCTGGCAGCAGCAGCAGCTGAACTTTGACACAGCAGCCACAGCTGCTCAGACCTCCCCTGCTCCCCTGTGGGGTGCCCCACCTCCTCCTGGTAGTGGTATCACTCCCCTCACCTAGGAAAGTTTTCTTGGCAACATTGCACTTTCCCCCTCTCTTCCTTCTATGTACCCCTCCACCATTAATGAAACCACTTTCCAGTACTCGGTGTCTCCCTCCTCCTCCCCACCCACTCTGGACTTCGTCCTTGATAGTGGGGCCACTGAGACTGCTCTCAAGGATGCAGGTACACTCTCACCCCTCTCTCCTCCCACTCTGGTTCACGGTGCTGACAAAAGTTTTACCATCCCATGCACACATCTTTCCACCCTTCCATGCGCAATCTTCCCCTCCGGTAAGGTAACTGGTCTCCACATCCCCACCCTCCGAAACAACCTCCTCTCCCACCGAGAAATCCAAAATTCAGGTGTCACTGACGTCTACCCAGGTAATGCCACCTACTGTGACCTTTATCACACCGCCACCGGCCGTTTCCTCCTACGCATTCCCCTCTGCCCCCGCACTCGCCTCTGCACTCTCCGCACCCCTTGGCCATCATTCTGCCATGTCACCACTCGTGCTGGCACCTCCACTAACCCTCCCCATTCCCCCACCTCACCTCCACCCCAACGGCAGCAACTGCATCCACCACAGCCACAGCAGGGGCGGCATCCGCAGCAGCAGCAGCCGCCTCAGCAGGGGCAACCGCGGGGGCCGCAGCAGCAGCAGTCGCCTCAGTAGGGGCAGCCGCAGGAGCCGCAGCAGCAGCAGCCGCCTCAGCAGGGGCAGCCACAGGGGCCGCAGCAGCAACAGCCGCAGCTGCAGGAGCAGCACCAGAGGCCGCCCCAGCAGCAGCAGCAGCAACCGCCGCAGCAGGGGCAGCAGCAGCAGTCACCTCCCTCTCTCCCACCCTCACTCACTCCAACCCCCTCCACCCCCGATCATCTCCCCCACCCCGCTGTTCTGCTACACCACCGCCTCGGCCACCCCAATTTCGCCGCTCCCCGCTCTGCCATCACCTCTTGCCTCCTTCACACCCTCCCTCCCACTCTCCCTCCCCTCCCTTCCTCTCCTGCCCCTCTATGCCCCTCCTGCATCCACGGCAAACTCAAACAGTCTCCCCATCACATCCACCCGTCCTTTGCTCCCGCTCCAATTGACCTGGTCCACATGGACCTCTGGGCACCCTCCCCCACTCGCTCTCGTCAGGGCCATCGCTACATGCTGGTCCTTGTAGATGACCGCAGCCGCTACTCCTCCATCTTCCTCCTTCACACGAAAGACCAGGCACAAACTGTGATCACCCACTGGACAGAGCAATGCCGCGCCCACTTCAACCGTCCCATCGGCTGCCTCCACTCTGACGGTGGCGGCGAATTCCTCAACCGCACCCTCTCCCACTACTGCGCCGCCCATGGCATCCAACAGACCCACACTCTTTCCCACTCCCCACAGCAGAATGGTGTCGCCGAAAGCCGCATCCGCGAAATCACCAAAATCGCTCGTTGCCTCCTCGCTCACGCCTCTACTCCTCCCTCCCTCTGGAGCTATGCTCTGCTCCATGCTGCCCTCCTCCTCTGCGAAGATAACTTCTGCAACGGGAGATAGACTACGGGCTAGGCACGTGTGCTCGTGTGATCTCTACGTTCGTTAGTCCTTAGTCGTTTTCCTTGTGCATACACTACTTGCTAGTTCACGGGGAAAGTTGGAAAGAGTTTCACTAGGAAAAAGTTCAGAACAATGATAATAGCAACAACATTGCCAGCATTGACTACATCAGAGCTAGCTAGGCTGCTGGTCGACCTCCAGCGCAGCACGGTCGACCGCGCTCCAGCGCAGCAGTGCTCGCACCGCTCCAGCGTTGCAGAGTAGCGGTTCGCCAACGTTGCAACTCCACAGTGTGCTTGTGATGCAGCAAGTCGGCTGCACAGTGTTGCACCCGCAGGACAACGGTGCACCTGCTTCGCAGGTGCGCGCAGCTGGTTGGTGCGCACTTCCCTGTCACGAGCACAATGCACACGTCTGGAAGACTCGACGCCAGCGACTGTGCCCACCAGCCATGTCGACCTCAAGATACCACCCCCGAGGTCGGCCTCGCAGACTCCACCCTGGCGATACTCGTGTACGTCGCCCGGGTATCCCGATCGACCGGGCAACCACGCCAGGACGGCTCACGCAGTTCGTAGCCCGCCACGCATGCCCGGCGTCCCCAGTCCGGCGTCCAGGCCCACCCAGAACGCCTTCCGAACCCCTAGGTCGGCGTCCAGACGCCTAGGACGCCGACCAAACCTCCAGAGCGGCGTCCCTCTTCCCAGGACGCCGACCAGACACCCCGGGACGCCCAGGTCGGCGTCCGGACCCCCAGGACGCCGTGCATACGGCTAGGTCGGCGTCTGGCCTTCCAGAGCGCCATGCAGGTGCCCACGACGTCGACCAGGCGCCCGGGTAGTCGTGGCGACGCCCAGCTCGGCGTCCAGCTTCCCAGGACGCCGTCCAGGCGTCCTGGACGCCAAACAGGCGTCCAGGGCGGCGTCCTCCTGCTCGGCGCCCTTGCAGTGGCCCCCGTGCCCACTGCTGCAGGTCGGCTGCAACCCCCGCACATCCGACTACAAGGTTGGCTCCGCCCAAGCGAGGACGGGGCCTTACAAAGCTCCCGTTAACACTCCCCTGCCGCATTCACGCTTGGGCCCCCAGCCCACACGGCAGTACAGCTACGAGAATAGCCCGTCGGCGTGCACCCAACACACAGCACGCCGGTCACCGCACCAGCCATGCAAGAGGGCATGGCACCTACTGCTGCACGTCGTTGTTCCCGTCGCCCACGTCGGCCAAGCGTACCTGACCGATTGCAATGGAGCACCGGTTGAAGGCTGGATAGTGCAGCACCTTCGTCAGGAAGTCGGCCGGCTGCTCAGCGGTCGGGATGTACTGAAGCGAGAACTTCCCGCGCTTCACCATGTGCTGCAGCCAGGCCTGTCGCCGCTCCATGTGCTTGAGGTTGCCCGTCAACCCCATGCCCTCGGCGACCGTGATGGCCGACTTGTTGTCCACGCGCAGGACAGTCGGCTTCCCAGCGTCCGGTTGCCGGAATTCTGCGAGGTGGAAGCGAAGGCGGCGTCCCTCCTCGCCAGCTTCAGAGGCCGCCACGTACTCCGACTCGGTCGACGACAACGTCGCGCATTTGATTCGCTGGCTCGACCAAGAGACTGCAGCCCCTCTGTAGATGAACACGTAGCCACTCGTGCTCGTCCTGTTCTGCTTGTCACCGGCATCGTCGGCGTCCACGTAGCCGACCAGCTCCAGCGACTCAGGTCCACCGCCGAACTCCAGGGCGGTGTCACGTGTGTTGGCAAGGTAGGCGAGGAAGCGGTTGACCTCGCGCCAGTGCTGGTCGCTCCTCACCGTGGGGCCGCTCCCCAGCTTGCTACAGGCGAAGGCAATGTCCGGCCTCGTCGTCGACGCCGCGAACTGCAGCGAGCCGACCTTCTGCCGGTACTCCTCCTCCTGCCGTTCCCGCGCCTTCTCGTCATCGAAGGTGAGCTCGGCGTAGGCACCGACCGAGACCGGCGTCTTCGGGGTGCGCCCGGTCTGCTCCTCGTCAAGGAAGCGCCTACGCAACTTGTCGGCGTAGCCCTGCTGGTGCAGCCACAGCTTCCCTGCCGACCTGTCGCGCACGATCTCCAGCCCGAGGTACTTCTGCACCGGCGAGATCTCGCGCAGCTCGAAGGCGGCTTCCAGCAGCTCCTTCAGCTCCTTCAGTATCGCGGTGCTGCTGCTGGCGGCAAGCAAGTCGTCGACGTAGACCAGCACCCAGCAGGACACTCCACCCTCGCCGACCTTGAAGTAAAGAGCCTTGTCGACCTGGCTCTTCTTCCACCCGGCGCCGACCAGCACATCGTTGAGCGCCAAGTACCACAACAGCGGCGATTGCTTCAGCCCGTACAGGCTCTTCACCAGCCCACACTACCGGCCCGTTCCATCGTTGAAGTAGTCCGGCTGGGACATGTACAGCACCCGATCGAGCTTGCTCTGCAGGAAGGCGTTCTTCATGTCGAGCTGCATCGGGTTGAGGCTGAGGACAGCGACGATGCTGAGGAAGATCCTCAACGTGTCGTAGCTGCTCACCGGCGCGAACGTCTCGTCGTAGTCGGCGCCGTACACCTGTGTGAAGCCCTTCACGACCAGCCTCGCCTTCTCTCGCTCGACGGTGTCGTCGATGTGGTACTTCGTCGTCAACACCCACCGGTTCTTCATGACGTTCACCCCCGGCGGGCGTTCGACCAGCTCCCAAGTGCCCATGTTGATGAGGCTGCGAATCTCCTCCTCCATGGCAGCCTTCACCGCCGGGCCCTTCCATCTCGCCAACGCCTCCTTCACCGTCATCGTCGAGATGTCCCAACGGTGCTCGGGGTCGGCTAGCATGTCAGGGTTGAGCTCCGGAAACTCCTCATCATCCTCGACGTCATCGTACAGCAGGTCGTCGTCATCGTCCACGTCATACACCGTGGTGAAGGCAGCGGGGACGAAGAATTCAGGCGGCCTCCGAAGTCGGCCTGAACATCGTGGTCCTTGCTGGACCTCCTCGGCGTCCCCTCCATCGTCCCTGTCGTCGCTGCCCTCAGCGTCCTGCTGCTCTTCAGCCGGCGTCCCAGCCGACTGCTCCCCTGTGGTCGGCGTCCCAGCCGACTTCTCCCCTGTGGTCGGCTTTCCTGCCGACGGCCCGGTCGCCGACTGCTCCGTGGTCGGCTTCACGGCAGCCTGCTCCCTTGTCGACTGCTGCACCTCGACCTGCTCCTCCCCTGTCAACTGCAATCCCGCGTCGATTTGCCGCTCGTCACGTCGGCCACCGGCGATGCACTTCGTCGTCAACACCCACCGGTTCTTCATGACGTTCACCCCCGGCGGGCGTTCGACCAGCTCCCAAGTGCCCATGTTGATGAGGCTGCGAATCTCCTCCTCCATGGCAACCTTCACCGCCGGGCCCTTCCAGCTGGCCGGCCGACAGCAGGTTGGCTCGCACACCCGGGACGTACAACACGTCGGGGATGAGCACCTCCTTCCCGGCCTCTCCTTGCAGAGCA